CTGTGCTACACTTAAGAGCTTTCGGTAATTGTCTTTTTTATCCACTATTTATACGCCTGAATCTGTAGTTTCATAATACTTCGCAGCAGAGACAGACAAACAAAACAAACAAAACTGCTACAAACGCGTATAATTTATGCGCCATCGAGTCTAGATCAGTTAAGCTTCAACGTTACATTGAGATCAACAAAGAGAGCAGAGTGTGTGTGTGTGAGTGTGCCAGCTGGAGTTCTTGAGTCTGAGTCCGTTAAGTTAACTAAGCAGCAAAGAGAACAGAAGTATATGACACACTGTAAGAAGTCCGAAGAGTGCAGCAACACACCAACCATTGTTTATCACTGCTTACTAAGTGCGAATGTGTGTGAGTGAATGTGTCAGCTGAAGTGCTTGAGCCTAGCTCCGTTACGTTAAGCTACGACTTTGTGTTAAGAGTGAAGAGAGCAGAAGTAAAAGAATTATTGTATTGAGTCAGCTGTGTGTTGCAGGGAGAGCAAAGAGAACAGCAACACACCAATTTGTGTTTAGCTGTGTATTAAATGACTTCTGTATGTGTGACTGTCGACACAATATTAGCTAAGTTGGCCCACTAGCAATGAATGTATGTATGTATTTAAGTGTGCGTAATTATGTTTGTGTGTATGTATTTATTTAATGCACGGCTTATGTTGAAGCTCTTCGGCGTGAAGCGTGAGTTTCTCTTCAAGCTGCACCTGAGAATTGAAAGCTTTTATTTTGTCGGTTTTTTCTTCGCGTTTTGGATTTTGTCTTCAGTTATAGAGACGACGCCAAAAGAGTTGGTTGGGCTTGGCGGCGGGCCAGCAAGCAGTTGTAGCAGGTGTAAATACGGGGCAAAAAAAGAAAAGCAAAAGACGATGTATGTTTATCTATAAATATATAATTAATCTATAAACACTTCGAGAAATAGTGTGCTGCATTAGATCGTAACAAGTTTGTAATGACTGTCAGTGAAATAATTGGTGAAAACATGAAATCGGAAGTCGAAAACAACAATAAACAGTGCCATCAGAACAAGTCCAACAACAACAGTAAACAGCAGCAATAACAAACGCTTTGAAGCGTGTAGTTTTTGGCTTTAGTTTTTTGTGTGTGTTAGCTTAAGAAATAAGAACCGTTATAATTACCACTTTTATGTAAATCAAAAGAAGTTGTTATGCTCGTTCGTTCCAATGAAATGAAAGGAGTAGATGGATGTTGTGTAATGTTAATGTTAATGTTTAGTGGCCTCTTTTTTCGGAGATTGTTCGAATGCTGTGCGCCTTTTTGTGGGCGTGCCAAATGTTGAAAAAGAAACTGTAACTGTGGATTCTCTAAGAATTATGGAGTTTATTGTTTACGAAATGAAAGGAGTTTAGAGACATTGAATCGTAGAGATTGTTCAATGATATTATGTATTCATATACGCCTCTGGGGGCATGGCAAAAGTGAATAAAGAAACTGTTAAGGTCTGTTTAAGAGTTATGGAAGTTATGGTTTGTATGTAATCTTCATTGGACTCTTGGAGATTGTTTGGATATCATACATACATGATTTTTATAGGCGTGGAATGTAGGCAATATGGTAGAACGTACTGAATACTTATAGATCTATAAAAGAAAATACCCATATTATAGTAAGCGAGTATCCCACAGTCAGTACCACCCGCATCGTTTACCTCTCTGTGGCACTTACAATCATTTCCAAATTATATTCTCTGAACAATGTTTGTTAGCTAAGCTTCACGCGTACTTTACAGCGCTACGATGTAACTTTCTAAACCCGAACTAAATTCCACGCTCTCAACGTGATTTGGCCATTACAAGTGGAAGCCAAAGATTTGTCTAGACTTGATAGTAGTGCTGGCCGGCCAATGATCAATTCGCATTATGAATGCGATAAATTACTTTGGTCATTTTAGTGCTTCCATTTTAAATGCCAAACAAACTTCGTTTTGGGTGTGGTAAACCTGCTGCTGCTGCTGCTGTTGTCTGGTTACTAACGAGCCGTAGCATGGCCAAAATGCCATGGTGTCGGCGATTTGTAATTCTGCTCAAGTCACAACATACACCCATTGCTAGTTTTATATACACATATATAGATTTCTTCCCAGCGCTTACTTTAATTTGCAAAGCCCGAAAGCCTCTTTACTCTTTACATTTATAAAGACTGCCTGTCGTTTAGATTTATGGAGATTAGGCATAATAAAAAACTTAAGTATGTACATTTAGAACTCAATCGGGCCACAGATATTACGAAAAGTTCAATGGAAAGTAGAACTTAATTGCTTTTCCTATTTAAAGTACTTGTAATATATATATATATATATATATAGTCCAGATCGAAATCTTAAGATCGATAATAGAAATGCTTCTATATTTGCTTTAATTATGTTACCGTTCTGTGCATTCAGGGTATCTGCTAATCGGACCCTTTCACTACATACTCGTTTCTTGTTTTGTGCAGAGCTTTGTAAATATCACTTACATTTGGGAAATCAGACAAAGCAAAAGCAGCTCTCTTACGGAAGTACTTTTTTTTTGGTTTCGCTTTGATTTGTGACTCAGCCGAGAGAAGCCAAAGGAATTAAGTCTTTGATACCTTCTACTCTCCATCTCTCCTCTGCCTTAGATCCGAGTGTCTATAACAAATGGTTCAAGCATGCAGCAAGCTCTCGAAGTTACTATAAATTTACCATTTAAGACAAACGCATTTATATCTCTTTCTTATCTCTCTCTCTTTCTCTTCCTCCGTCTGACTCATTGCAGTGCCAACGATAATGCTGAAGCAGGAATCAGGACTTTTGAAGAAAGCGTCGGTCACAGTCGTTGCTCCAAATACCAACTACGCACACTTTTTCAAACCGAACGAGAGAATTTCCTGTAATGCTGACATTGATCCGAGCCCTGATGTGCGTAGTGCTGGGGATAGCTTGATAGATCCGATTTCAGTCACAATTGACGGGGAGAAACATTGGGTCTCTGGTGTGGATGCAAACACAACGTGTACCGATCTGATTTGTGCGCTACTCAGCTACAAAGATCTCGAGGGGAAGGACAATGAACATTTACCAATATACAATACATTATCCAACGAATCGGGTAGATCCATTCATACATCTAGCCAAAACACAAATCACAAAGCAACAACAATAACAAATACCAAAGAAAACAAACAAACTTCTTATAGCAAGGGTCTCAATACTAACCTACATCAATACGTAATTGTTAAACGATTGCGGGACAGTCGATTCGAGGAATATTTAGATGGTAGCACTCGACTAATAGATGTCATACCAATCGCAGATAAACTGACCAAAAATCAGGTAATATATTAATGGATGTTCCCATTAAATGATTTCCTATTATTGAAAAACATTTTCTATCAGTGTGAGCTCCAGCTTAGGAATCTTGCATCCGACACTTCCGCGCGCTTTTGTAATCAAGTGGAAAACCAAATGTTCTCAATGCTCTCCATGTCGACCGATAAGGACAGCGGCATGGGCAGTCCGGTGGGTAGTGCGCGAAGTGAACGATATCGTAGACGGCGTGGAAAAGCGCACAGAATGGGCGTTACGGAAGGCCCAGCATTACCAAAGCACACCAAAATCCTGCAGCCACAGCCGTGCAATCTGAATCCAAATGAGCATCTGATGAATATTATACTGGCCCAAGACGAAACCATCAAGAGACAAATCTACCTGCTGAAGTAAGTTGGGTCTCTCTCTCTCCCTCTCTTATTCTGGGAATATCTCTCAATACACTTATATTCTAGCCAAAAGGAGCAACAGATCTTAAAGATTGAGGATGAAAAACACCGAGCGAGGGCTCAGAAGTTGGGTAAAAACTATTTGATCGACACATATTTGAATGCACTAGGCAAAGCGCCTGATAAAGAACTAGATAGACCTGATTTGGAAGATCAATGGGAATGCGTAACAACTTCCCATAAACTCAATAGCCCACATCCTGCGTGTATTCATGAAGGTAAAAGTAAATCTTTGAGAATTACAATTTCTCGTTCACTTATAATAACATTAATTAACTTTAGTTAATGCTCATATACTATTTACAGTTGATGCCAACCAACCCGCTGAGATAGTTTCTAATATTTCGCTCGATGCGAATATTTATTGGCTGGAAAAGGTTTACACATTAAATGTTCGACTCCAACGAGAGGAGGAGGAACTTCTCCGGCTGCACGCCAAGGTGCGTAAACATCAGATGCGACTCGCTTACCACACGAAGGATGAGGTGTTGCAGCAAATCGATAGACTGGATACGAACTTGGCCAACCAGGTGAACGATATCTATAGGATAGAGCGTCAACTGTTAGTGGCCAATGAGCAGTTGAAAGCCAAATTGGGCGTCCTCGAGAGTTTGGGTAATGAACTGGAAGTGATGCCAGCAGCAGATCAAGAAATGTCTGCTGAGACAACAGCCCTAACTTTACAATTAAATGATGATCTAATCGCACATCGAAAATCTATAGCGGAGCATTTGATACAAAATCTGCAGGAAAAGGAAGCAAGACAAAATTATGTCAAGAACCTAATCAAAAATAATGCCAATGGACGCGATCAGACGGATGCCAAAATGTTAAAGAAACAGTTATTTTTCGCTGTTGATAAGCCTGAAACTTTACATCAAGAAGAACAGCCCCAGACGAGGTATACATCGAATAATGAAAGTAATAGGCTATTGGGCTTTTTTGATCCTGACATTGATATAGAAAACTTTGGTACACTTGTTTAATTGATAAAAATAGTTTTTTTTTTTATAATAAAGCTCTTCAATGTTATGTAAATATAAAGTAGTGCTATATTGCTAAAGTAGTATGACATCTTCAAAACTAGCTGTATATAATCATTGTTCAGAGCAAATATAAAAAACAGATTCACGATCAATATTAAAGCTAAACAGCGCATAGTAAAATTTCGTACAGTTTGGACTAATTTTTAAGGCAATTCGTATAAATTTGGCATACTATACAGGTTTATATACATATGTGTGCATTAAAACTTATTGCGGTGAATTCCCCAACAGTTGCTTACATTGTTTTGGATGTGGAACTGGTTCATCATCGCTCGATAAATCGAGATCGCGTGTAGCTAACACCTTCGCTATTTTATTAAGCCTTGCATCCTCAACAGCTGGCGGCACCGTCGGAGTTGATAGCACAGCAGCTGTAATGAGCTGAGATGTGGACGGTGCATCCAGTTCCGGTTCCTGCTCGTTGAGCAGCCCGTGATTGGCCTCTCGCCGCTTGGTGAGCACAATGGCACCGCTGTAGAGGAGAAGAATGGGCAGCACAGCGACAACGACGACGGACGTCAGGAATGTGAACATCTTCACTTCTCGCTTGCAGCACTTCAGATCCCTTGACCATAAGACGCGCGTTTTATTCATCTAAAAGGGATCATTTAGTGAAAGAGCAGGGATTAAAGCGGCATTTAGCTTAACACTCACTATATCCTGCATGTCAAAGCACATTTTGCCATTGCTCTCCTTATCCAAATTTTTGTAAAAATCATTCATGTTTTTATAATTAAGCAGGCAGTTGGTGCACTTGCTATCTGAGTGGAACACTAAGCAGCTTGAGAAATCGTCATACAAACTTGTAAAGTTATCGAAGTTGTTGTTCTTGAAGCACTCTATTCATAGATAGAGCTCACAATGTCAATCATGTGAATAATATGTGGATTAGTCAGACTTACCCTCGCAATAGGCACGATCCCAGAGGCCCTGTAGCACACTCTGTGTGTTTGTCAAGATATTCAGGCGATCTGCGTCTGTGTAAATTTTGGAGCAGTTTTTCATCAGATCACTGTAACATGTTGACATCTCGTCAAATCTTACTTTGCAACCAATGCACAGGCGCTCGTCCTTAACGGGCAGCGCGTGCTTTGTGTTGCAGTAAACGAAGTCCATTTGAGCCGTGGCCAGTTCACTCAAAAGGTTTGAACAGGTTTTGCAAAAAACTGGCGTAATTATGCAGATAATGATAATAATAATTGAAAATAAAGCCCGCATCGCTAGACGAGTATTTATTGTGGCGCTGTAGATTGTTCACTAATGAACTAGTTCGTTTATGGTCACTCCAAAATAAAACATTAACAGTACCATTTGAGCATTGCAGCTTAACCTTTCTCACCGAGCTCTTTGTAATGGTTACTTCTGTTATTCGCCATTCTGTCACTCTCACTCTCTCTCTCTGACTCTCCTTAATTTTCATACTCGATTATTCTGCACGAGTTTGCATAGATACAGTTAGTTGTGTACGAGTCGTCGGCGCATGGTGTTATCGGGCGTGTTGAGCGGCACGAAAATTTCCTTTGTTCATGCTTATGTATTTTAATATCCGCGACGGACGTGTATTAAGTGAATGACAAGCTGAATAATTCAAATTGTAAATTCTGCAGATCTACCAATATTTTATTTTATGTGTTTATGAAGTTTAAGCAGACCTGCCTCCTGGCCAAAGCTGCCCAGGGTGCTGCGTAGCACAGTTGAACAAAATATTTGCTCAGACGACGCGCTTCTACGCATACAAAATAAACGAGAAAAAAGAAGAAATAATGAATTAAACCGAAACGATTTTTAACTATAAAAACAAACAACTGTCCGTTGGACAGAGCCCTTTCAAAAACAAAATTGCAAATTTAATAATATACACACATGTATGAGAATGTGTATACATAACTGTTAATTGGCAGATTTACAGATCTGGAAAAAAGGAGTATACAAAATCGAGTTAAATATATGCGAAAGAACATGACAAAAAGGAAAAGTGTTGCTAAATAATCATGTATTGTGCATATGAATACATATACTTGCATATGTGTGTACTAAAGTGAATGCAAAACAAGCTGCAAACGTAAAGTTGTGAACGTGTGGACGCCACTCCTTTTGTGCGAAAAGAGAAAAAATTATTAAATGTAAAAAGGCGGCGTCGTCGTCGTCGTTGTTGTCGTCTGTGCGTATATAGAGATTGAGCGAGAGCTGCTGCGCCGGAGTTGAACTTCGCATATGCATACATACCAACAAACGTAGTGTGTGTGAGAGTGAGTGTCGGCAAATTTCTACAGAGCAAACAGAAACACAACACACTGTGATAGGTGCGTAAAGCGAATTAGATTTAATAAAAAAACTGTAGGAAATATGGCAAATATGTTATAGCGGCATTTTGAAAAAGTTCTCTGCTTGCTCTGCCGCCTGGCCACACTGCGCAGAAGTTGAATACGAAGGCAAGGCAAGGCAAAATGCAAGCATAATTGTAAGATATTTATGGCAATTGATCGAACAGCTGGCTTGCTACCTTGGGACACCTGGCCAAAAGCTGACACATTGCATTTACAGTTGCTCCAACATAAAACATTGCTCCTTTCCCTGTGTGTCGTTACGGGCTTTGCATTCGTTTAATAACTGGTTTTTAGTTCGACTTGCGCAGTATTTGGTCAAACAGGCAAAAACAAAATAAGAATCTCCCAAACAAGCTTACCAGAGAGCGAAACCGTTGATCAACATTGCTGAGAGAATGCGAAAGAAAGAGAGAGATGGAGAGAGAGGGAGTGACAGTCGCTAACATTGCAAAAAAAAAAAAAAAAAAAGAAAGAAAAAAACAATAACATGAGTGTGATAATCTACAGCTTTCGCTTTTGCTGCTGTTCTTGCTGTTGTCTTAGGCTCTTGTCCGTTCTTTCTTTTGATTATACTTTGTTATCGTTCTGTTGTTTCTTTGGATCTTCGTGATGTTCTGCTTGTTTATCGCGCTTCTGGTGGCTGCCTACGATTTATGCAAATGTGCAAAAGACTCCAATTACATTTATAGTTCCGCAACAAGAATTCAGTCAGCATTGTTGTATGTGTGTGTGTTTTTAGATATGTATGTGTGCTTGGCTGTGTGGAGGCCACATTGCTGTTAGTTTTTATATTTGACATCATATTTGTATGTATGTACACGTACACAGTTCTGCATACCCATACTTACATATGCATGTGTACGATATTGCATGCGCATGAATGTGTGTTTATCTGTATAGAAGTTCACATATGCATTGCCTTGCTTCCAGCGTGTCCACTTATTTAGAACTCTTCTTCTTCTTTGTTTATTTTTAGTGTAGAATTCTGGTTACAAAACATATTAATTTCATTGCCTCCATTTCAAAGTCGTTCTCTCTGTTGTTGTTGTTGCTGCTGCTTTTGCTATTATTGTTTTTGAGTTTTTTGTTGTTGTGTCTTCTTTTGCCTTCTTTGTCTTGCCGAAGCAGAAACAGTTGCGACGTCGTTGTCAGCAGCAGCCACTGCCACTGTTTTGTTTTTATTGCCTTCTCCGCCTCTCTCCCTCTCGTCCACGCTTATTCTCCCCCAAAAAGTTGTGGGCCTGAGGTTACTACTGGGCTTGGGGTCTTCCTGCTTGTACATCGAGTCGTTGGTGTTGCTTACATTTTATAAATATTATTTATTTATAGATAATCGTTGCCTTGTAGTGATTTTTTTTTATCTTTTCTTGTCTCTTAATTTATCGCCAGCTTTTAATCGCCTACGCTTGCGCCCATTAATTAGTCAAAAGCGAGTCACACCTAATTGCAAATTACTCTTAATTAACGCGTGCCCAAAAACACTGAAAAAATGCAAATAAAAACTTAGCTTATGCATAAATAAATAAAATTAATACACTACAAATTTAGTAAATTTAGCAGAGATATATCGATGAATACGAGAAAGAAGAAGATAGAGAATTAAAGAATCACGATAGATGATGGATAAGAGACGACAGAAGTAAGTAAGGAAATAGAAGAAGTACACATGTACATGTATGTATGTATATGTATGTAGCTTTGTCATATCAGATCTCTGCATGGCATAGAATACAGAAGAACTAATGATAGAAGACAGATGAAAAGTAAGGAAAGAGAAGGAGTGACTGTGACTTACACTAATTCAAATTGGAACCTTGCTTCGGCGGGTAATTAGTTTGAATATTGGTAGGATATCGTTGCCCATATAAGCTAGACAATAGTTTTTCCATTGTCTACAAAAGTCGACTAATATTGACTTAATCAGAAATTACAGTTATGTGCAAAACTCTACAAATCGGGTCAATAATGTTGTTGTGTTAAAACAAAATATAATAAATTGTTGTGGGTAGGGCATGCAGTCGTTCACTTGGTTGACCCAGCGGGGCCAACGACAACGACAACAACAAGGGCAGGGGCATGGGGCCAGGTGCTCGGGTAGAGGTGCCTACTCGCTCTTGCTAGCATGTAACGGCTGTTTCGAGTGCTTCAACCTTTCTTGATGCTGTGCTTAGACAATGCACTACTGTCCACTTTTTGCAGTCGCCCATTGAAATTGAATGAGGCAAGATTAAGCAACTGTGGCATCAGCAGCAGCAGCGGCAGCAGAAGCAGCAGCAGCTGTTGAAACAATTGCCAACTGGCGAGAATAAGTTGCTTATTCTGTGTTCTTTTGCTGTGTGGCATTTCTTGAATGCTGCCATGCCCACACAATTAAGGGGGCGGAAGAGTGGAAGGGGACAGACAACAATGCAATTGCATAATGCGCGCCCCAAGTGATGTGCTCTATGAGAAAATAGTTTCCTGAGTGTGTAAGAGCTGCTGCACTTAAAATGCGAGGATACGACTGGGGAAATAGAGCTAATGTAGGATATTCATTAAAAAAAAAACTTTCATTGTAAAAAATAAGTAACTAAATAATACTCATATATTTTAAGTAAAAATAGAATAAACACCGAAAATAAATTATTAATTAAAATGAGCTGACCCAATCTACATTTAGATTATAAATAAATTAATAACTACAAATTATGCTAGAGGACGACACCTATGCATATACTCACTCAGTCAATCGATAATCATTTAATTTATTAGACTACCTAAGCTAATTCAGGACAGGACAGGAAAAGTTTCGGAATTTGGGGCGGCAAACCCTTTTCATATTTAATGGCTTTAACCCAAAAACTGTTGAAAATTGCCTATATTAGATTCGGTTGACCAGTTAATTGTGAGGTGTGCGTTCGATTGCCTTGCTTTCATTTATTGGCCCCATTTGGCAGTTGGCCAACTGAGCAGGAATTGATGTGTGCAAATTTATCAGTCGAAAAGGGTGCAAAGTGCGTGTCTGGATGTGAGCCTAGGCAATGTTCCGGGAAGTTCACACAGAGCTTTTGCTTTATTGAATTTCATATATTAAATGCAACAAACAGAGCAAGAGAAAGAGAGAGAGAGAGTGAGAGAGAGAGAGAGAGAGAGAGAGAGCGACAAACAGAACCGATAGACAATGACAAAGAGAGAGAGAGAGATAGAGAGAGAGACAGTCAGAGAGCGAGAGGCTGTGCAGGAGAGAAGGTTTGTCGCTGGAGTAGACTCGCCTGGAGCGCTTCGCCGGTTACATAATGACAAAAAACGTTGCTCATGACATTCCGTTGCGCATGGTTGGGCATGAATGGATTCGGAATCCCGCAAAGGGGGCGGCTCTGCGGTGGCCGGTGGACGGTGGACGGTAGGCGGTAGGCGGTGATGGGTGTTGCTGTTAAACTTTGTCTACCTTACTACCATTGTAGTTGCTCCGTTGTTCGATTTTTCCACATTTGCCGAGTTGCTTTTAATGTGCTTTGCTTTTCTTTTCTTTACTTGTTGTTTTCCTTTCTCTGTTTTCTTTTCTTTGCCATGCTGTGCATCACGTCTTAACTTTTGCATTTCTAAGGGTTGTTTCTTCTTGGCTTGGCTTCGCTTTGCATTTTTTGATATGCACTTCGTGCGTTTTTTAAGTTTAGTGCAGCTTCGGCAAAGTACAGTAAAACACAGCGCACGAATAGCGTAAAGTGTGAAGTGTGTGTGTGTGTGCTTAAGGTTGACTCAACTTTGCACTCGCCAGCCTCCATCCCTCCAGCTGTAACTCCTCCGGCTGCACTGCATTTGGCACGTTCGCCAGCATCCACAAAGAGTTAAAGGCAATCTATATGTTTACACTGAGCAAAAATCGTGTTTCATTCAACTGATTCTGCCCCTTGCTCTGCTTCCCTCTTTATATTATATCTTTAACAATTACGTCTTAATTTAATTGTGTAATTATTTTAATTGCAAGCCACGCTTTGCACAGCTTCGTTGCATGGAGATTGATTTTTAGCACTGATTAGGCTCTCAATAGCTCTTTGTTTGTTGACAAGCTAATTAACAAGCACCGAAAACTGGGAAGATTAATTTCTATTACTATGGGCTTGCTCTATATACATGTATGTATATATATTATATACATATGTATCATTGATAAGGTGCAGAGGCGTACGACAGCTGTCTGAGTCACGGAATCTAATATTATTGATTGTGATTCTCAGCCAAGGCAGACATCGTGGCTATCACGCGGCTACCGATTGAGTTATTGCATACCCTGTAAAAACTGTTTAGAGTATATATTATTCCCTAAACATAATGAACACTAAATAAATAAATTGGACTTCAAACTAACTGAGTCTAGCTATATACTGGAACATATTCATTCCACAAGATCAATATACCCTGTGCAGGGATAAATATGGATGAGTATTACCATTATTGATACATATAGTTTAAGGTTAGTTGAGTTCACCGTTGGACCAGCTCGAGCAATTACAAACTAACAAGATTGATTTATGTTCTTATAATCGATTCCCAAATCAAATTGCGATTTGTCACAGTAAACGAGAGAATGAGAAAATATTGATTTTTAATTTTTTCGTGATTGGTTGTTTATTAATGTTGTTATTCTTGATGGCTGCTCGCAGCGTATCAATCGAATCTAAATGCTTTAATGTAATTTGCTTAAAATTGGCTTTCGACATTGTCACGCTCTCACTTTGGATAGAGCAGAGAGTGGAACCGACTCTCGACCCTCGACTCTCGACTCTGTCAACCATCAGCTGTCAACTGTCGCCTCTCGGCACGGTTTGAGTTGGCAACTTTTCGCTTTCGATTTTAAATTGTTACCAAATCTGATCCGGCAGATCGTATATAATTTCATACAGTTGATCGGATCTGGGTCGGTGTAAAGTGTTTAAAGGAGATAACGGAATACTTGAATACTTGAATGATAATTGCTATAGATTTCCATCTATTTTTGCATTCCTTTGATAATTCTTCTAATTCTAATACAAAAAAGCATTGCAGTCGGGCGTACACGACTGCAGTATAATATAAATGTATATATGTTCTATATGGAGTCTCCCATTTGCCAATTTATTCTAGAGTAAACATAGAATAATTTGAGCATTGTATAAAAACCAATATACTCTTTTCACTTTTTGAACGAGCATAAAAATCTCAGAGCGTCGGTAATCGATTGCCAGTGACGGATCTGTTGGTTGGAAAGTGTATATCCGCATTTTTGCAAAGTCGATTGACTTGTCTGGCCGAGTTGAGCTGAAGCTCCTTCTTGTGTCCGCTTTCGTGGCCGGCGCTCTCAGGGGAGCCAACAGAAAGCGGTGGAAGAAGTCCTATTAGTGTCAGGTTCATTGCCAGCCATTCAACTCAACTGAACGGCTGAACGGCCATCGAAGCCGCAAGTCAACTAAGTCTAAGTCGGCATTTTAAGTAGAGAAGTCGTGCAGTAATACTTAACTAAACAAATTTTTAATGTTACTCGCATTCCATTTAGTCTTAGCCTTGAGGCTTGCAATTAGGTAAAAAATATATTTAGACATTTAAAATTTAATGAGAAACGGTTAACTCTTTCCATTCATAAGTTTTGCACTTTGAAAAAAAAAAAAAAAATAAATAAATAAATAATAAATAATAATAATAATAAAAATATATCTATTTATAAATTTTAAATCAATTGGCAATTTCCTTTAATTTTTATTTCCCATTAATTGTTTGCTTTAACACACAATTTGTAGTTCATTATTTAACTATTCACAGTGAATTTAAATGAAAATGCTGCCACGCCCACATTTAGTAAAACGTTTACATGGTACAGCGCGCAGCCAATTTATGTTATGATAAAACCTCAAATAGATATATGTATGTAGCGCGGTCTAAACGGTGTAATTAATGTGAAATATCGTGAGCTCGTTCAGGTGTGCAGCATGTGGTAGAAGACAAACGAAATATGATAGCCAGAAAGAGAGAGAGAGAGAGGGAAAAGAGAAAGAAAGAGAGAGAGAGAGTTAATGAAATATGTTCTGCCAAAGTAGATCAAGTTCATTAGACTGTAGACTGAATTCTATATACATATATATATAATTATAGTATCTAGTCTAATCAAGTTCATTAGACTGTAGACTGAGTTTCTAGATGTATAATAATCGTATATAAAATCATAATCAATTCTAATAGATGGCAATTAAGCTGTTAATCACTCAGCATCAACAGCATAATAATTGCCATTTAAGCAAATGTCCAATCGTTGTCTATAAAGGAAAGAGAACGCCTCTCCACTCACTTGACCCGCTTCGGTGTGATGATTGCAACACAGATACGCTAAATGACATTGCGACGCAACATAATGTGTTGATGGCTTTGTATTATGGGCTACAATCGAAATGCTGTTGGCTGTTGCTGATGATGATTCGATGATATAAAACTAACTCTGGGCAATTCGCTGAAGAGTTTCACATGAAGGCCGCTGGCGAATTCACCGAGTGTGGGATTTGGAAATGTCTACATTTTATTATGTATTTTGTTTGTGCCTTCTGTTGTCTTCGCATGTTGAAGTTTCTCGCTACTTTTTTTGTAATGACCATATAAAAATGTATGTAATTCGTGGTTGACTCCACTTGCGATGATACGATAGGCAAGGCGACTGATAAATCTTGTAAATTACATTGAACATTTCATGTTGAGGTGTGCGCGTGTGTGGCTCTTCTGTCGCTCTTGGCTCTTTAGTTCTGTTCTAGTTGTTTGCCACATGGTCAGGTTGTCTTTTTATGGCATCGCCAGTTGACCCAAGCGAACGGCTTGTTCCTGACCTTTTATGGTGCTGTCTGTAGATAGCAAGACGAAACTTAAAACGGAAGATGAGGCCAAGACAGGTTTTGGAGCTCGGTAATGCTAACACAATCAACTCTAATCAGAGCAGCGCTACTATACATCATATATATGTATATCACTAAAATAATGCACATACTGAAGCCGAAATTCGTGCGACTTCCTTAATGTTAGTGTATTGACTTTTGTTTTCATTTTTGAAGGCTATTGGAATTTGTGGCCATTTGTTGCTATTATTTGTTGTTTCTTTTTACCTATTTGTTGCTATCATATTTGTTTTCGTCATTTTTCGCATTGGAAGGCTTTCAGTTGAGGCGTCAACGCGTTTTGTATAAAAATTTGCAGCACTTTCTCTCTCGCCGCTGTGGGTCTCCGTGGGCGCCGCCTTGGGCATTCAACCTCTGATCGCGTTGCTTCATGGAGCCAAAGCAACGCGACTTGAACAAATCTAACTAATGGCTTCCGTTTGGAATACTTTAAGAGCCAAGTCAAGACGAATGAGCCGAAAGAAAAAAAAAAAAAATAAAAAATAAAAGAAAATTAAATAAAAAACCAACTCATTTTGACTGCCTTTTTTGGTGTTGCTGCGATAGGCGCACAGAAATAATGTAGCAATTCTGTTGAGAGTTCGTTTTTAGCAGCTAGGCGAGGTTCAATGAACCGCGAGCTAAGTTTTCTTCAACTGCAAGCAAAAATTTAATTTTGTATCTTGTTTTTTTCTGATTTTTTGTTTTGTTTTTTGCAGAAATTTGCATTTACTACAAACAAAATGCTTGGCACGGCGGTTGCTTGATTAGCAAACAGCAAAAAATACGAAAGAACAACAACAACAACAACGAAAACGACGCTCTCCACGCTTGAGAGGAGTAGGTGGCCAGCCTTAACGACAGCAGTAGCAGCAACAACTATCAGCACCTGGAATTAACACAGCCAAACACAATTGCAATGCCAAAACTTTCAACGGTCGTTAGCGCTTAGCTGCCCAAAAAAAACACACACAAAAAAAAACAAAAGTCAATTCCAAAGCTAAAAACTACAACCAACAAACGTAGGACAAGGAAACTAAGACAGGTACGCGAGCATGTAAGCATAGAGATTAGCTAAGATAAGACAGAGAGGCAAGTCGAAGTGGGAATTCATTAATATAGATCTTTGATTGAGCTGCATAAGTCTGAAAAATGACTTGAAGGTGCGTCAGAATGTTGCACAGGAATTTGCAATATATATGCCTTATCGAGGGCAGGAAAATAAATTAAGTTTATTTATTAAGTTTTTTTTTTTTGATTAAAACAAGTCTAGTCAAGACAAGGAAAAGAGGCAAGGCCTAATAAGTTGGTTCTGGCTAAAAAGCAGACGTAGGATCATCATCACGCTTGATCATCTCAATTTTTCTAGGCAGGCGTTAAGTAGTGACAAGGCTAAAACAAAACCAGTCAACAATTAGAAAACAAATAGAAAACAACAACAAAACCAGAGCAGAACCAGGCAGTAAGCTAAACGAAATTCAAACCAACATGGATGAAACAACAAACATCGATCAGCAGCCAGAGCACAGAGTGTGGTGCTGTGCTTGGGGCTTGTTCGAGGGCCAGCCCAATGACAATTGTAGTACAACGGATGATGGGGAACTAGAACAGGGGGGCAACGGCAAGCCCAAGGAGTTTATCATAACGGGCGGCAATGTGCCACAACTCAAGATTGTTCACATTTCGCCCAACGATGGGAGTGCCTTTCCGTTTGAGTACACCCATCAGTTGCCCGGAATGGGTATACACAATCTAGCGTTGAGTTCGGACAATAGTTGCATCTCGGCCGTCTCAATGGACGGCAATTTGATGCTGGTCAATGTTATGGGCGGCATACGTTTGCCCCGGGTCACGCACTGTCACATTAGTAATATCTGGTCGACGGCTTTCAGTCGCAATCCCGACTGTGTCTATGCGGGCTCGGGAAGCGGACATGTTTTTAAGTACGACACCACGTTGGGTACACTGCAGTACAGCTATGACACGGGTCGCTGTGAGAATATATTGGGCCTGGCCATCAGCGGGGATCAGCGTTTGGTGGGCACCACCGACTACCAGGGCAACTTCACACTGATCGATGGCGGCACGGGGACTGTGCTGCGCCGTCGCAACCATAAGGAGCCAATGCGCCGATTGGCCTATGATCAGCTCACGCGATATGCCCTGGCTGCCTGCGATGATAAGACGATCAGGTTAATCGATTTGCCCAGCGGACGGCTGCGCGAGACTCTGCTGGCACACGATGCGATTGTGATGGCGGTGGATATATCGCCGGATGGCTTGCGTTTCGTGAGCGGCGCCTTCGATGGCTCCATCAAGGTGTGGGACGTACGGATGACAAAGTGTGCGCTCAGCTTCCAATGCGGCTACACTACGAATCTATGGGACGTGGCCTTCAACAAGCTGAGCAACAAGATCAGCGTTGTCGGCGACGGCAAGGGTCTCGGCGTTTACTACTGTTTGGGTAACAGGGAGATGCTGCTTGTCTAGACAGATATTTGTTTATTTACTTGATTCTTTTTGTTAAATTATTAATGAACAAAATTGTTGCATATTTAAAAGAAAAAATTCAATTAAAAAAATTTCTCATGTGTTAAAGCTGTAAAGCAAATCGAATCCGATTGCTGTTGAATGCATTTTGAGACAGTTAACAGCCGACAGTTAACAGTTAATCGTTGACAGTGTCTGTGTTAAGAGAATTCCAGTTTCATAAGTCGGCCTACTGCTCGTTATCTAGCATGTGGCATCTGTTGTACGCCTTCTATTGCATCGACTATTTCAATTAGGCAGCGACGCGTCGCATCCTTTGATGCGTTAGTTCGTGATTTGCGGTCATATTCATGATATTGCGTTGGCAGCTGCCAGCCAGGCGAGATTAATGACTTCAATTGGCAAGTTGGCAAGTTGGCCTCAGCCATGACTGGCTGGCTGTAGCCCACAAACTCCTCGCATTGCCGCTCGTGCCCAAAACCACAAAGTAGAACCCACTTGCACAGACTTGCCAACTCGTTTTCCCACCATTAAATTGGCATAATTTGTCGAACAAGAACCGTCGACAACAGCGAAGGTAACTTGCAATACCCATTGAGAGAGGGAATTTCGGGTATGATGTTTGGCTGGCAAATGTGTGCAATGGGTGGAGTTGTATAGAGAGTGTTTATATACTGAATCTGAACGAGTAACTGAGTCGAATTTACCTGGGATAAGCCTTAGACTCTAGTATAAATTATTATATATTATAAGTATATGTTAGTTTGGGGTATGTGTTAGTCGTACATTCCCCTTTAGAACACGCATACTAGTTTATTTCATTGCGCTGTTGTTGTTGTTGCCTTTGTTGTGTATCAAAAAACACTTTTTGAATTGTGAATTCTGTGAATTGTTTTGCTGTTTTTTCCGTTGCCGTTGCCGTTGCCTACGCGAAAATTCTTTTGAGCTGGTATCTCGAAACTCGAATGCAATCAGAAACACAGAAAACAATAGGCCAACGTCAAATGAAGTCTGATGAAATCCTGGGACTTTTGCATAGTTGAAATGTAGTTGTAATAAATGAAAAGAAATATAAATTCTTATGTAAAATATGAATGCCAATTAGAGTTAGATGTAGACTAGTTAGAGATTTGCAATTGGAGCGCACTATATACATATATGTATGTATATTTATACTGAGTGCATAAACTATTTTAGTGGTAGATTTGTATATTAAAAAAAAAAAATAATAATAAAAATAAAATAAAATAAAAGTAAATAAATAAAAAAATTTTAAAAATAAATAAAAATAAATAAATTAATACAAAAAAAAAAATTAATAAAAATAAATAAATTAATAAAAAAAAAATTAATAAAAATAAATAAATTAATAAAAATAAATAAATTAATACAAAAAAAAATTAATAAAAATAAATAAATTAATACAAAAAAAAATAAATAAATTAATACAAAAAACTAAAAAAAAAATACAAAAAATAAATTTAAAAAATAAATAAATTTATACAAAAAAAAAAAAAAAAAAAAAAAAAAAAAAAAAAAAAAAAAAAAAAAAA